CTCTGCCTCCCGAGTGCTGGGATTAAAGGTGTGCGCCACCAAAGCCCGGCTTGGACCATTCATTTTTAAGGTTGCTTTTGTCAGGGCATTTTATCACAGCCATAAAAAGGAAACAGGGACAGGCAGCTACCCATAAAGCCATGCCAGAACTGTGTGACCATCCAGGGGTTCTTTTCATCCAGGTGGCCATGTGGCCAGAGTATCACCTAGGAAGCCCAAGCTCAGCATCTTTAGGGTGAATGTTGGTTTTGACCTCAATGCTTTCTTTCCTCCTTGGAAATCTGGCTTAGCAAGGGGAGAGGCGGGCAGCAGGCGGCTGCAGCTGTGGAAACCAAAGCCCCTTGGTGAAGGCAGTAAGCTAGCTCTCCCACAAAGGAAAAGCAAACAGAAAACACATCTGAGCGCTCAATGGGACCAATGTGACACTCAGGAAGAGGCAATAAGAACTAACAATCAGATGGGGAGAGGCAGAGAGAGTAATTTCTGTTGTGGACGAACTATTTCCCCACACTGTCACTCCAGTTATCCCCCTAAAGCATGAATGGTTCAGAACAGTGGTTCTCAGCCTTCCTAACACTGTGACCCTTTAATCCAGTCCCCATATTGTGGTGACCCCAACCATAAAATTATTTTCGTTGCTGCTTCATAACTATAATTTTGCTACAGTTATAAATTTTTTTAAAGATTTATTTATTTATTGTGTATGCAGTGTTCTGTCTGCATATTTCTATGCAGGCCAGAAGAGGGCAACAGATCTCATAATGGATGGTTGTGAGCCACCATGTGGTTGCTGGGAATTGAACTCAGGACCTCTGGAAGAGCAGTCAGTGCTCTTAACCTCTGAGCCATCTCTCCAGCCCGTACAGTTATGAATTGTAATATGAATGTTTTTGTTTACCGGTGGTCTGAGGCAACCACTGTGAAAGGGTCATTTGACCCCCATGGGGGTCACAACCCACAGCTTGAGACCCGCTGGTTTAGAGCATCATCCACTGCACAAGAGACAAGAATTGCGAAAGCCCAGTGTCTTTTACAACTCCCTTCCCCAACTGTTCCAAATCCTTTCACAATTTGTGTCTCCTGTCCTGTTGTCTCTCTTGCATTGTGCCTATTTCTCTGTTTTCTTTTGTCTCCCTGCCTCCGTCTCTGCAGGCCAACAGACTCCTCTAATCATCTGTGCCTTTGGCTGTGCAGCGTCTGTCACCTGTCTTCCCTCTGGGGATGCAGTGATGCTGTTTTACTAGCTGGCGCTCAGCTGGTCCCCGTTCTCAGGGGCATCATGTTGGTTGCCTGAAATCTGCCACAAGAGAAGTGTTTCCACCAGAGACACTGGCAAAGGTGTGCAATATTATCACGGTTAATTTCTGCCTTTGGACATTGGACTCAAGACCTTGTATGCAAGCTAAGCAAGTACTCCACCGCCGAGTTACAACCCTTGTCTCCCACTCTTTGCCTGGACTGTTTCTGCTTACCCTCCAAGACGGTTCTGTCAGGCAGTCTTGGATTCCCATGGAGCAATATGGAGAAGCAATCAACTTCTCTGTTAAGTGTGTGGGGCTGAGTGCTGTGCAAACATAACTTCCTGCCTCCATTAAAGCCTTTGCATCTCGTCGTCGTCGGTATTTGTTTGACTGTCTCCCCAGTAGCTTCTGTGGGCGAAGAACAACTATCTATGTTGGTCTGTAAAACCCTCCAGGGAGAGAACTTACATAGTGAGGTCTTTGCGAATGCCTTCCTATTTAATTAAGTAGAAACTAGGGGGAGAAACTGCATTGCTTTCCCTGTGTGCGCTACCAACGTTGTGAGTGGTGCTGACTATTTTCTCAAGAGCTTCTGAGGGACAGGTAAAATCTGACTCTACATAACAAAACTGTACAAAGGCACTAACAGTCTACTGTTTCTGGGGCATTGACAGGTGCACTTGGGGCTGCAAGAACCGATGTATGAAGCTGGAAATGTTATGTCTCTGAGATTAGGTGAGGAAAGCATTACAATTTTATAACATTTATTTATTTGTGTGTGTGTGTGTGTGTGTGTGTGTGTGTGTGTGTGTGCTTGCGCACACGTGCGCGCGCGCTCGCTCGATCACCCGTGTGTCCTGTCTTCCTCCACTGCATGGGTTCTAGGGTTCAAATTCAGATCATTAAGCTTGGAAGCAAGTGTCCTTACTTGCTAAGTCATCTTGTTATCCGAGGAACGCATTTTATTTATTTGTCTGTTTGTTTATGAGGCAGAGTGTATGTAAAGACCAGCAGGCTGGCCTTTAGCTTACAGAGATCCCTCTGCCTTTCCTTCACTCTTGTTTTGAGATGGGATTTTATGTAGCTCAAGCTGGCTTCCATGTTCATATGAAGTCTGTGGACTGAAGAGAGGTCTTTCTGGAGGAGATGGAACCCAGCACAAAAGCAGAAAAGTTTTGTGAGGTGGGGCTTTGTCTTAGGGTTTCAATCGATGTGAGGACACACCACGGCAGCTTTTATGGAGGAAAGCATTTAATGAGGGTGTCTTAGAGTTCAGAGGTTTAGTTCTTGATCGTCATAGTGGGAAACACGGTGGCCTGGTGCTGGAGAAGGAGCTGAGGATTCTACATCTTGATCCGGTGGCAAGTGAAGTTTACAGTCCTGTTTGCCATAGCTTAGCACCAGTTAGTTAACCAACCCCTCCTCCCTGCCCTCCCCACCCCCTCTGCCCTCTCCACTCTCTAGTCTCTGTCTTTATCCCAACTTCCATGAGCTCTTTTCCCAACTCTGATACACAAATGAGATCAAATAGTTCTTATCTCCCTGGGCCTGGCTGACTTCACTTAACAATGATCTCTAGTTCCATGGATGGTGTTGCAAATGACGGATTTTATGGCTGAGTGGCATTACGTTGAATATTTGTGCCATTTTTTTCTCTATCCACTTATCAACTGATGGGACTGAACACCACTACCAAACCATGTGATGCTAAAAAAAAAAAAAAAAAAAAAAAAAAAGAGAGAGAGAGAGAGAAACAGACAGACAGACAGACAGACAGAGTGTGTGTTTCATAGCTCTGGCTAGCCTTGAACTCACTTTGCAGTCAAGGATGATTTTGAATTTTTGGTCCTCCTGTTTCCATCTCTCCAGTCCTAGAATGACATGCAGGGGCTGCCATGGTGACTTTGTATGGCGATAAGGACAGCTCGGGTTATGCATGCTCTGGACAAGCCCTTGATAAATTTCCCAGGCTGGCCTTGGGTTTGAGATGTAGCCCAGGTTAACCTTGACTTTGTAATTCTCAAGTCCCATCCTGGTTATCCTGGGATTATTCGCCTGTGCTGTCCTATCCAATTTCCCCGTTTCCCTCCCCTTCTTTCTTCCCCTCCTCCCACTCCCCCCCTCCTTCCTTGAGACAGTGTTTTGCTAAGTATGTCAGACTGACTTTGAACTTGAGGCAATTTTTCCTGTCTCAGCCCCCTAATAGCTAGGTGTTCAGGAGTACACA